TCTGTGTCTGATAATTCCAAATTCTCAATTTATAGGCTTTAAAATTTGTTTAAAGACTTTTTATGATTCTCATGCTTTGTAGTTTGTTTCCTTGTGAGTCTCATGATATTTTCTTGTGATTTCATGTTTCTTGATCTTTCTGCATGGGAATTCTGGGCAATTAAATCAGGAATGCTTTCTTCTAGAAGGAATATGTGGAGCTAGTGTGAGTACTGCTAACTTACAGTGAGTTAAGGTTCTGGCTAAGGTTAACTTGGCTGTTTTTCCTCTAGTCCAAAGCTGAGGTTCTCAACTGCAGTGTTATTACTGCCAGAAGCAAACAGATCTTCTCTATGGAGGAGAATGTTCTCCAAATTGAGACTTACTGAAGATGCCTGAATGATTGACATGGAAACTGTTCTGAAATTTCTAACATAAACAGGTCTCTTTTATTCTACTTTTGTTGAGTCTGATACTGTCCTTTAGGATGGTTTGGATGTGACAAATCTTATATTTGATTTTTTCCTGATCTCCTTGCCCTACCCCCATGCTTATTAATACCAACTTTGTTAAAATGACACCCAGCTGTTTTGGCAGTGTGAAGAAGTTAGGTGAGAAGAGGGCCTCATAAAAGCTTAGCCTCGGGCCTTCACAGCGGCTGTGGGCAGGGCCACTAGTTCTCCCCAGGCAGCTTTCTGGACTCAGTCATTGCCAGTTGCTCAGATAACACAGTAGAGGTGTGACCAGTTCAGCAAAGACTTGACTTCTCTTGATACAAATGAGTGGCTGAAAACATGGGCCCTAGGAAATCTCTACCGAAGCCATTGGAAATGCTTTTAGAAGTAGTGATAGATTAAAGAAGGAAATGAATTATGGTTTGAAGTATTTAAAAGAACCATGGAGGATGAAACTGGTTTTTTATCCTCTTAATTTTAACCAGTTTTGTAATTACGATTGAAGATTGATCAGAACTTAATCATACTTATATATTCCTTCTGAGTATATGGCCCTGTCCTCAGGGTTAATGGGGAATGTGATGCTTACATTGATAGGTGTAGATTAAGAAATCTTTTTCTAAAGGAATTTGATAAGATTATAAAAAGAAATGGATGGCAGTTATATCATAGTATGATAGAATATCTAAATTTAGATAGCTTTTAGAGTCCTAAAAAAAAAATTCAATTTTAACTATATATAGTCTGACTTCTTGTCATCTAAATGTTGGGGAGCCTGAGTATAAATAAGAATGTTATTTAATATGATCAGTAAAATTAATAAACTAATACAGCCATTTAAATCGGATATTTTATATCAGTTGCTATGACTCCGTAGGAGTTCGAATGACAGAGATGTCCATCTGTCCAAGGAGGAAGGAGTGAAACCTTGATGACGTTTTGGCCTCAGAGAATATTTCTGGCAGATACTTGATATCATTTATTAGAAGTAGAGATCTTTGCATGGAAGACACAATGATAAGTTATTTTTGCCTACTTAAACAATTTACAGTAATTTCTTTTACTTATTCTTTTTATTCATGCAAAAGAGAAAATCAGACATTAAAGAAATCTCAGGCAGTCAAAGATTAATCCTTTTTTAAATTGTTTTCATTTATAATTGATATCTTTTTTTACTTTGGGATTGCTCTTGACACTAGTTGAATGAGGATTTTAAAGTTAACTCTCATACAGTTTTGTGGATGCTTTTAGATGATTTTAGATGCAGGGGGTTAAAGTTAAGATTTAGGATCTTAGAATCATAGCATTTTTTTTTTTCTACTATTTGTGATATATTTAGGTTCAGTACTTCTCTAGTTTTTGACTACAGAGTATAATAAACTGAATATTATAAACATAATAATGAAAGAATTTGTTATATCTACTGGCTTATTTATCGAATATTTCTGAAATGTGAAGTCACTAATTTTAAGGCTTGATAATTCAACAGAGAAGAGACTATCAAAAGATTATGTATAAGGTTGGAGTTTCTAAGGCTAGTCTAATGAAGAGTACCTTCTTTCTACTTTGGTTCTGAATCAGCTGAGACGGAAAGGAGTGGAGGATGGGGCTAAATGTCAGCTTTACTATCGACAGAAATTAATCTGGAAAATGTGAGTTAGGAGAGCTGAATGGAGCCAGGCAGACTTGGACACTCATGGCAGTGCCAGCCCAGTGAGAAGGGTGACTTCCCCCCAAAAGAAGGCTGATGGTGAGCCCAGTATATATAGTATATTCTTCCCAGTCAGATAAGTTAGTCCATAGACGGATGCGCTAGTTTCCTGAGGCTGCTGTAACAATTCACCACAAACTTGGTGGTATCAAACGGCAGAAATTTATTCTTTCACAGTTCTGAAAGCCAGAAGTCTAAAGTCAAGGTGTCAGCAGGGTTGGTTCCTTTTGGAAGCTCTGGGGGAGAATTGGTTCCATGCCTGACTCCTAGCTGCAGGTGGCTGCAGGTAATCTTTGTTGCTCCTTGGCCTAAAGATGTGTAACTCCAACTTCTGTGTCCATCTTCACATGGCCTTTATTCCCTATGTCCTCACCTTTATGTTTCCTCCTCCTCTCTTACAATGACAAGTCATCATTGAATTTCAGACCTGTTCTAATCTGGGATCATCTCTTCTCTAGGTGCTGACTTTAAGTATACATACAGAGTCCCTTTCCCCAGTAAGGCTGTGTCCTCAGGTTCCAGGTGCACGTTATCTTGTGTATCTTTTGAAGGGGCCACTATTTAATCCACTAAAAGGGATGGAGAGGCCAGGAGTTGGCGTAATTAAATAAGTAAACTTAATGCTTGCTAGGAAATATCAGGAGTTGGGGGCAGATATTCATTCCCCCTAGCATTCGCCAGCTTTTTATTCTCATGCTCAACCAAAGACTGATCAGCAGAATTGGTCTGATGCCTACCCTTTATCTGTATCTTTGACATTATCTTCAATTCGTGTTTTTTTGATAGAATCTTTATTTATTTATTTATTTATTTTTATCCTCACCCGAGGACATTTTTCCATTTTTTGTTCAGATAGAGCAGGAGGGAGAGAGAGGAACAGGGAGAGAGAGAGAAACATCGATATGAAGGGACACATCGAGTGGCTGCCTCCCGCATGACCAACCAGGGCCGGGGACAAACTGCAACCGAGGTATGTGCCCTTAGCGGGAACCGAACCCGGGTCTCTCTATACCGCAGGCCGACGCTCCAACCGCTGAGCCAAACCGGCCAGGGCTGATAGAATCTTTTAAAGCCACTTGTACATCTTGTAAACAGTAATGGTTAAAGCTAGGTGAAATAAGCTATATATTCACTTAGCTGTGCACAAATAAAAGGCAGTTTATTTATCACAATACATAGAGAGCAGATAAACCAGTGAAGGTGTCATGTCAACCCCCTGGGATGTACAACTCCCCAAATTCCATCAAGATGCCTTGTGAGCTGTGTGTCACATGGGCTGAGTGAGGGTTTCCTTATTGCTCTGGATATGAAATATTAGGAAAATTTAATTTCTTTCTTACTAAAAACTACATAGAAACAAGTATTTCCCTCCCACACTCCTCCCCCGCACAGGATGACGAGTTGCATTTTGAAACTTCTACCATCATTGATTATCTAAGAGAACTTTTGCGGTGATTTAGACAATCTCTGCCTGTGTTGTCCAGGTGTAGAACACTTGAAATGTGGCTAGTGAGATTGAAGAATTGAGTTTTAAATTTCATATTATTTTAATTAAATAGACACATGCTTGGTGGACTGTATTAGACAGCACAGATTAGATATCTGTCAATGTCTAGGCTAAAAATATTGGGAATAGTAAAATAAAAAGAATATCTTTATTTTAATGGCATTAAAAAAACAAAAGAAAGTTCATCCCAAGTTGCAGCTTATCTATACTTGTTAAGTAAGGGTTTTGTTTTAACTTTTTGTTGATAACTAAAAATTAGATGATATTTGAGTCTCTTTTCTTTTACTATATTATCTAGGTCTATAACAAAATTATTCCTTTGCAGGCCTAATACTGGTAAATGTGGAGAAGAAATTTGTCAACTTGGAGACATGCTTATTTGAGAAATTAAGTGTTAATGTCAATCATTTCACATTTCTCTTTGCTGAAAATATAAATTAAACTAATGTATGCAGAAAGGTTTTACTTAAAAGATTATAACAAAAAATTATTTCCTTTGCAGGTCTACTACTTAAAGGTATAATATTTAGTGATGTGAAAAGTATCACTTCATGTTAAATTTACTTTTCAGACATGTACACAGAATTTGCTGTCGTTTCCCAATCATGCCATAATTGTTTTATTATATAAAATGTTTAACTTAATACTAGTCCATGAGTTATATTTTTGTCTTTGATTGAAATGTGGCAAGAAAGAACATTTCTTCCCCTTGCTGACAATGCCTATAATATAGCATTAGATTTAAACTTATTTAAAAAGGAACTGTGAAACTAAGTATTTAGCTTACACTTCTTATACTTTATATAGTTTAAATTTTGGAGTATTGTATTCTTCATTTGTGCCAGAAGAGGGTGTACTTTAAATTTGATGTTTTTGAACAGAAAGCATTTCTTTCAACTACTGCTGTAATGTTGATGTTTCTTAAAAAATTACAACGTCTTTAAATCCAGAATGACCCTTAACGTACGTGGGAGGAGAAGGGGGATCCATGTGAATAATTTAGAGCACATAAGACAAAAATCATCTATTAATACACTTTAACCCAGAAATATAATTTTATTTTTCTAAAGTTTTTTAGTTACTTTCTGAAAATGAATTCAGAATAATTTTTTAATGTTTTTCAGGAGAACTTTTTGAAGTTTTTTCTTTAAATACCCCCCCCCCCCCCAAAAAGGGAAAAAAAAGTAAATACAGAAAACCCTGATATATGTAATTTCCATTTTTAACTTATTTAATTGAAGTCATCATTATAAATCATAAAGCAAGATCATTCAGGAAAAGAGATACACTATAAATGAAAACAAAGCTGTGGCTAGAAAGTGATATTTATTTCTTTGTGTTTTGACAGCTTGAAGGCCCTTGTGTTTTGCAAATTCAAAAAATTCGCAATGTTGCTGCGCCAAAGGATAATGAAGAGTCTCAGGCCGCACCCAGAATGTTGCGTTTGCAGATGACTGATGGTCATATAAGTTGCACAGCGGTAGAGTACAGTTATATGTCAAAAATAAGGTGATTGGCACTTTATTTTGTATATTTGTTACAGTGTTTGAAGGTGCTGTTCAAATGGATTTTGTTTAAGAACTCTTAAAGGAAGGAATGAAGTCTTAAGTGTGTGTTGCAATTTTTCAGATGAAATTAAAGTTTGTATTTCTACTCTGTCTGTATAGAGAAGTAGTTAACAATGGAGTTAGTTACTCTTTGCTTCAATGTTAACGATAAAGACAGAAATTTAAGGTGTTCTTGCTTGAAAAGTAATCTTTTCAGTGTTGTCAGTAATTTGAGGTCATTCTAAAATTTCCCAGTACAAACAGAATTTCTTTAACTACTTTATGATTTCTGTGTCTATCACACTATTTATTGTTCTAGAAAAGTGTATAGGCGAATGAGATTTCTAAGGAAAGATTGACACTGGGGAGGTTTGTAAGCCACCCTACTTTCTAAGAGAAAGCAGAATTCCATAAGGCAAAAATCTCCACATCCTCCTTTTGGCTATTTTCATGAGAGGCTTTTAGAGTCATACCTACGGGAATGGAGACAGGCAACAAGGGAAGGATGACGTCCCCATTAGGTCAGGTTAAGCTCTATTTTTTGAAGACCAACATATGTTTTCTGAATAAGAGTTAGTTATGGCCCTAAAAGTGATGTATTAAAGTTTTTATTAAAAATTTAGCACCTATTCATCCTTTTCTGGGAGTAGAACTAGAATGCAATCTGGTAAATGGAAGTCTTTGTTAGTTATTATAATGAAATTGTAGATCCATCTTCAAATAATTTGAAAGATTTTCCCCTGACGTTTTATAGTATCACAATTAAAATACCTCTGTAATTTGCATCTTATTTTTAAAGGTCTTATGTAGTTTCTTACATTGTTCATAATATGTGTTCCTACATATAAATTACTGGATAAAAGTGGTTTTGAAAAACATGTATAGGTCTTATGTAAATGATATATAATTTTGGTAGTAATTTCTTTAGCAATAAAGAGTACAGCAGCCTGGTATCCTTGATGCTTATCTTATTTATCCCTAAACAATGACTATAGAGTTATGAAAATCTGGATATGCCTACTGCCTGGAATTGGGAAAAACCTCTTCACTTAGTGTAACTATATTCAGTTGTCGTTGATCTTGAAGTCCGATAAATATTGTCCTAAATTTACTATATATATCATCACAGAGCTCTGGGCTTAAGGGGTAGGGAAGGCTGTTTATGGCCACTTATTCTGTAAGTTACATGTGATGACTAAGAATGATTAAGTTTGGAGTCCTTAGAATAATTTTTAGGGGATAATGTCCTTGAAATATGGTGTTGGAGGAGAGCTCTGTGAATACCCTGGACCATGAGAAAAATGAACAAGTGGGTCTCAGAGCAAACTTAGCCTGAAACATTGCTAGAGGTAGAAACAACAAGATTGTGGCTGTCCTATTTCGGGCATGCCATGAGAAGGCAGGGTTCTTTGGGAAAAATAGAAGACAGCAGGAAAAGAGAAAGACCACATGGGCGATGGATTGATTTCATGGCAGAAGCTGTAGGTGTGTGTGTGTGTAGGAGCTGAGCAGGGCTGTTGAGGGCAGGGCAATGTGGACATTGCTCATGCACAGGGTCCCAGGAGCCGAGTTGACTCAGTGGCATGTAACAAACTGTCTGGCTCTGCCTGCAGTCTCTGAAGCTTTAAAACAGGAATATTCTGTTCCTTCTTGTTAATAACTATTTTATCAACCTTCTTTTTTTGGTCAGAATAGACCAGTGCTCTGACTGATTTGCTGTTGTGTGTATCAGCATATGGTAAATTTCACAAGCTTTTAAAATGGAACAATGCGAAGCCATTTCAACGTGATTTTCTAACTCATTCTAAGTGCTTTAGGACAGTGTTGACTCCTTTTAGGAGTGCTTTACCCTTGCTAAATGTGTGAAGAGATGGGGTGGGGCTCGGTGTATGTGCTTTAACCTTAGAATAAACTTATGTGATGAAATGGATTTCTGGCATTCTTTTATCAAGGGTTTGGTAGGAAGATAAATGTCTTGTCTCTGGTCTTTGTAAAAGGAATTATGGTATAATGTTTGCCTCCAAACTGATAATACTAGTCTATTATAGAAAGGTTCTTTTTAAATTAGTACATTTTAAAGTAAATAACTCATTTGATCTTTAACTACATGGATTGTTAACTGCATGGTTAACAAAAAAGAGCATTATTTTTTATGGATTATGATAGCTCATATAGATGTAAAATTTCTAGGATTATTACTGGTCTGATATATTTTCCTGTGATAAAATTTCATTTTGTAATATAGTATATCATGGCAATGCATAGCCAAAGCTCAGAGAAAAAAAAAGGCAAATTATATTTGTAACAGCATGTCATAATTGAGAAAGTAAATTCATATATTTTATTCTATTTATTTTTACCACAGATTTGTGAGGTGTGATTTTTAGTGTGTGTGTGTGTGTGTGTGTGTTTTAAGAAGTGTATTGCTTTTTACCTAGCACTAAAATTATGTTTATTCTCTCCTTTAGTAGATTGTAGGCCTGTTAAAGTCTGAATTCTTGTTTGTATATGTGATATGTACGTGTGTGTGTGTGTGTGTGTGTGTGTATTCTTTTCTTTTCTTTTTTTTTACTCCTGAAAGATAGTTTTCATGTTGGTTCATTTTGAAGAATCTGACCAGATCATGAGACTGAGTGACAGTTTTGGGAAGGAGCTTCAACTTGTTTTAACTTATTTTCTCTTTGTTTTAGCCTGAACACACCCCCCGGAACTAAGGTAAAGCTCTCAGGAGTAGTGGACGTAAGGAACGGATTCCTGCTCTTGAATGACGCCAACACCACGGTTCTCGGTGGTGAAGTGGAGCATCTCATCGAGAAGTGGGAGTTACAGAGAGTAAGTGTAGACTAAGAATGTCTTCTCACGGCATGCTGTATTCCGAGGAGATCTCATGACGAGCAGTAGCATCAGTCCTGTGTCAGTTGAATAGGGTGGAACACAAGGGTCTTTGTAGAAACTACCGGCCTTGGTTTAAGCACACTGTTCCTCTAAAGCAGATGTCTTTTTTTTTTTTTTTTCCAGTATCTGTTAAATTTTTTTACATATATTGAAAAGTGTTTTACTGACAAGTTTTCAAAACTGCCAGGATACCAGATATAACTTGTGTGTAATGTATATAACTGTTTCTGCAAAAAAACAGGTGTTTGTGCATATTAATGTGAAAACATCATGCATGTTTGCCTCATCTACATACACACATACATACAAGTGAACGCAAGGTAGAAGTTCACATAATGAAGGGGTTCTTGTGACCAGGTTCTTCCTAGTCACTCTAGTTTCCCCCATTTGTGTTTACAATCTCTTCATCCTCGAGGTCATCCAGGGTATCTAGAAACTGTTCCTCTACTTTGCTTCCAGCGACCACTTGTGTTGATGCAGTGCAGTCAGATCTTGTATCAGTCCCTTGCTCCCCAGCTGCATTGCTGCCACCCTGGTGTAAGTCTTCAGCAGCTCTTGCCTGGACTGCTGCAGTAGCCTTCTAACTGATCTCTACACATGCTCTTTCTCTATCCTCTAATCTATTCGATGCACTTCTGCCAGATTACCTTCCCTCCGCACAACTCAGAACATATCACACCCTGCGTTTATTTCAAACCCTTAATGTGGGACTCAGTGCCATTTATAACCTAGCCCTAGTTCCAGTTTACTTTTTCAACTCTGTAAATAATTCCACAGAGATTTTGTTTTAGCCAAATGGAACTGCTTACTCTTTCGTTGATTCTCTATGCCCTCCTCAATTATACTTTTGAGAAAAAAAAAGATTTTCCACTTTTACATCATTCATCTTGTGTTCTCTCTCCTCGTCGCTGCGTGACCAAATTGCCCTCATGCTTTTAGACTCAGATCAAATGCTTGCTTCTTCACAAAGTGAATTAGTTGCTCTTTTATTGAATTTTCAGGACACTTTATCTATGTTAAGAAGTGTATTGCTTTTTACCTAGCACTAAAATTATGTTTATTCTCTCCTTTAGTAGATTGTAGGCCTGTTAAGGTCTGAATTCTTGTTTGTATCATCTGTGTTCAGTTCTACAAGTATTTGTTGAGCAGTGTGTAGGTATTGTTCTGAGCTTTCGCATCTGTATGTCATGTGATCCTCCTAACAGTCTTGTGTGGCGGTTTTATGTCCACATAGACCAGAAAATGGACTTTAAGAACTGTTGACTAGTTTTATGACTAGACAGCTGATAGGTGATGGATCTGAGCATTTCTGTATCTCCAAAGTGGTAGCACTAAGTCTTACATGTAATAAATATCATAACAAATAATTGTGAAATGAATGAATTACAAAGCTCATAAAGCTAGGTACTTTTTCAGCTAAAACTGGAGTTCTCATGTTACTCTCAAATCTTGCCTAAAGTGAGCCAAGGGGCCTAGCAATATTTCAAGCTTTTGGTATTTTATGGTACATCACTCTTTTCTACTTTCTTAGTTTGGAAGCACCTCTTTTGGGAGGTAAACAGATAAGGTGAATTAAGCACACATTTTATTTTTTAGTACTCGTTCCTCATGATAATAATGTGCTACATTTTGGGCTGCTGTGCTCTGCATTATAAGATAATGTTTAGTTGAAAATGTTGCAAAAGCAAGTAAGTGCTTTGATAGTTTTACATAAAGAGCCAAGTTTATGAACTTTGAATCTCCCAGCAAAATTCCATTCATTATATGTGATCCTTTCTGTTCACAAGTTGACATATTTTTATTATAATTAAGAGATTTTAAAAAATGTGGTAAGTTGTTCTCAAGTCAGACCAACATCTTACATAATTTTCCCAACCCAGCCAGAGTTATTTCACTGACTGAAACATCAGTTAAACATTCTAGGAACCTCTCATTCCTAATAGGCACACACATGCAGATTAGTAGTAAATAGTTTGATAGTTGTCCTTGTAATGTTTTATTATATATCTTTGTACTTTGTTTCCTGCAAGCCTGTTAGTATTTCTTGTTAAGGGGTCAATAAAAATTCACATTAAAAAAAGTTTAAAAACATCTTAATATAATTATAATTATCTTTGGTTTTATAGGTTTTTGATTTGGTAACCATAGTGATGTAGAAACCATGAAGAGCAATTACTTGAGCATCTGGTGGGTAGTACACATAGAAATCAAATGCACACACAGAAATCATAAACCATAGAGTTAATTTTAGAATTAAAGAGGCCCTAAATATTCTCGTAAAATAAATAGGAAAAGAGAACACTGATAGTATTTATATCATATGCAGGTGTTGTAGCAAGTTGATTACATATAGGTGAAGAAAAGAAGGAAAGTGTAGCCCAGCTGGTGTGGCTCAGTGGATTGAGACTCATCCCATGGACAGAGGTCTGGTTTGATTCCCAGTCAGGGCACCTGCCGGGACTACGGGCCCCATCCCCAGTAGAGGGCATGCAGGAGGTAGCCGATTGATGTTTCTCTCTCACATTGATGTTTCTATCTCTCCCTTCCTCTCTCTCTAAAAAAAATAAATAAATGAAAATAAATAAAAACACTTAAAAAAAAAAAGAAGGCAAGTGTTTTTTATCTTCCCAAACTGAAATTCTATACCCATTAAACATTAACTTCCCACCCCTACATCCTCCTGATCTCTGGCATCCATGATTCTTCTTTCTGTCTCTATGAATTCCACTACTTTAGGTACCTTATATAAGTGGAATCATGCAATATTTGTCTTTTTGTGTGTGGCTTATTTCACTTAACATAATGTCTTCAAGTTTCATTCATATTATAGTATGTGTCAGAATTTCCCAACTTTACAGCTAAATAATATTTAGTGTGTGTGTATGTGTGTGTATCACTTTCTGTTCATTCATCCACTGATGAACATTAGGGTTGTTTTCATCTTTTGGCTATAGTAAACAATGCTATTATGAACATGGGTGTATAAATATCTGTTCAGGTTTCTGCTTTCAGTTCTTTTGGGTATATACCCAGAAGTAGAATTGAGAGGTCATATAGTTATAGTTTGTTTGTTTATTTATTTATTTTAGTAACTGCCATATTGTTTTTCAGTGACTGCACCATTTTACATTCCCATCAGCAGTATATAAGGGATCCAATTTTTCTACATCCTTGCCAACCCTTGTTATTTTTTTATATGCATATTGTCTATTTGCATATCTTCTTTGGAGAAATGTCTATTTAAGTCCTTTGCTAACTTTTTAATCAGTTTGCTTTTTTGATGTGTGATTTCTTAGTATATTTTATACATCCATTCCTTTGCAGATACATAATTTGCAAGTATTTTTTCACATTTCCTCGATTGTCTTTTTACTCTGTCCTTTGATGCACAAAAGTTACAAATTTTGATGACGTTCAATTTTATGTTTTTTTTCCTTTTTTTGTTACTTGTGCTTTTGGTGTCATATTCAAGAAATCATAATCAAATCCAATGTCATGAAGGTTTCCCCTCTGATATCTTCTAGAAATTTTTATGGGTTTAGCTCATAATTTAGGTCTTTAAATGGTTTGAGTTAATTTTTGTATATGGTTTAAGAACACAGGTAACATTTTCTGTAATGATAATTATTAAAAATGTAAAGTTTAAAGTTAAGAAGCTGTATTAAATGATAACTAGTGCTTAACAGATATATGTTAACATCTCAAAATAAAACAGGAAGAATAGATGACTAAGAGGAGTCATTCTGAAGATTCCTTAAGAAATTTCAAAGGAATTTATAATGTGAGAAATTGCTTTTGCAAGAATTTCCCCCCCATTTGCATAATGTTAACTCTCTAATTTTAAATATTAGGGTTAAGGAAAAAGAAAAGAAAATTAGTAGAGTTGGAAGCTTATTTTTATTAAATAACAATCAGTTGACTACTTCAAAATAGAAATTGATTTTCAAAACAAGTCTTTTTTGTTTGTTTGATTTGTTTTTTTTAAATCAATCACATTTTTAATTTGTTCCATATATCTGGCCTAAGAAGGTATTCCAATTAAAACAAATCTTTATTAAGGATTTTTTTTTTTTTGTAATTGAAAGTAATCACCATATTATAAACTGTAATAATTTGATCTCTTTAAATAATTGGAAATTAGTCTTGTCAGTATTCCCAGAAACTGTTTCTAGTTACAACACTTCTGAACTCTGTTCTGAGAACTGGAGACCAAATGTATATTTCTTATTATATTGCAATATAACAAGTATGGTATTTGCTAATTGATTTTTATGTCTAAAAAATTTATTATAAAGGTAATTTCCAGGTAATATTTGTCTATCAGATTATAGTTTTAATATACTTTGAAATAAAATTTTTGTTACCAAATTCTGTTATTGAATTTGCTACTTGGTGAGGAAATTTTTTTTTTTCTTTGTTTTGTTTTTATAGGAGCAGCTTGGTAAATACTTCTGAAAACTGTTGTGAATGTGTATTTTGGTGTGGTTAGGTTAGGAGAGAGCCTTTGCCTAGTTATCAAAGTTAGAAATGAACTATTTTATATAGTTTGATATAACTTATAGAACGCTTTTTTCCCTTTTTTTAAAAAAATAAGAATGTACGAAACTATGTAGATTCTTGGTGCATTATAAATGTTGTAAATATATTTTTTATGTATAATTTATGTTTTGTGACTCACTTTTCTCATAGAGCTTGTCAAAACACAATAGAAGCAATATTGGAACGGAAGGCGGACCCCCTCCTTTTGTGCCTTTTGGACAGGTAATGACTGTCGTGTTGGCAGATGTATTTTAATCAGTAAAAAGTGTTTTTCATGTGTATGCAAGCTGTGTTTAGTTTTGTGCCGAGCTATTCATTCAGAGGTCATGTTGTTATATGGAAATATATTCAGTAAAGGAATTTAATAATTGTTCTTTTTCTTTACTGTAATTAAATTGTTAATTCAGATGCTTTTCTCAAGAGCTGTTAACCCAGATACTGAAAAAAATTAGGAAGCACACCTGAAGAGCCACTTATAACTAATAACTAATTAAGATAAAATGGTTTGGGGGCTTTTTTTTTTTTGAGAGCGCGACAAACGCAAAAGAAATGAAAAATGTGCTATAATTTATCATTTGGTTTATTAAAAGCAAAAGAGGGAGAGAGAAACTGAGTGTCAACAGAAGGATGAGACAGAAAGTGAGAGCACCAGAGGCAGGGAAGGGCATCCTGCACCTCGGGAGAACCTGCTGTCCCAGGTCCCTCCCAAGATTCCGTTCACCTGCCTCGATTCAAATACCCGTCTTAGTCACGGACTTCACTTTATTTTCATTGGTATTTTCCTTTTCAACCACAACAGCTCCGATCTTTCTCTGGCATAGGCTAAAGGGTTTCTGTCTCCTTTCTATTTTCAACCCCTTGCTGCTACATATTACTGGGGGTGGGGGGTAGCTCCTCAGCTAGCTGATATCTTGTGTCTTTCTGGTTGTGCTCAGTATCAGTCTGCATTCAGAACAATCTCCTCTGGCCTATCCCTGCTTTATCCCTGAAAAATCTGAGAATAATCTCTGTGACAGCTTGCTGTTTGCCACATGACGCCTCAAAATTTAGCTATTGGTATTCTACCTTACATTTGCTCTCTATTTCTCTTTGAGAATACTGGTTCAGGTGAGAGTACTGAGATGAGATGGGTACACAAAGGGTAGGAAATAGAGGCTTACACATCTCTAACAACTTCAAAAAATATTTTGTGGGAAAAGATAACTAGGTGATCAGAAGATAAATGGGTAGGATCAGATGGTATCCTCTTCAAAAACCTTTATGGAGAGTCTACTCAAAATTAAATTGAAGTCATTCTTGTATCATGTCTATTCTGAAAGTATTTTAGACATATGTTGAGTTTTATTGTGCTTTGCAACAAGGCACTGTCAAGATAAAAGGAGGCATGATGCCCTGTGGTGTGATCTCTGTTGATGGTTTTCTCACTCTGCCAGCGTAATAAAACCCCCAGAATGAAGACAGTATAGCTAATCTAATAATTTGTATCTGAAAATAATAAATGATTAGTTTGTTTGTAAGAATTTGCTTTTCCCTTAAACATTTTGGTGTTAATATTTCTTTTATAAATTGCTCAGAGACTTATGATTTAATTATTTTCAAGAACTTGAAGTGTGTTAGTGTGTTTTGTGATTGTTTTTGTCTTGGGAAGTATAATAAAAGTTATAGTTTCAATGATATTAGTTGTTGATAAAGTCCATTCTGGAAAATTCTTTTCAGCATATCTTAGACTTGTATATGGGTTAAAAGCCGATGACGATAGCTGTGTACTGGTATTAACAGGATATATTTATATTGCTAAAAACCAGTAATTGTATAACATTTGTTTGAGAGCATGTTTTCTTCCTTTTATTGAGTTAAGAAAAGGTTTATTTTATAGTATTTTTACTAATATAGTAAAACTAGAGAAAATAGAATCTAGGGCTTATTTTTAGGCAATGATGACTTTCTCAATTTATTTTATGAGACTAAAAATCAAAAACTTTGCAATTTGATTGAGGGAGAGGATATGTTTTAGATTTTGGTTTATAAGTTCAGAGACATCTTTTTATATGTTAAAATAACTGTACTACTTAACTCTCATAAGGACATTGTGGATAATGTATAAATCAAGCTCTTTTAAGACTGAATTTACCTTTTCTTGTGCAATAGTCCACACTGTTTGAAATTTAAATTATTTTAAGTTCATTATTCTAAAATGAAACTTAGATCTTCTGGTTCGATGTATGTTTTAAATATGGACCCTGTTTTAAGGGGCCCCATTTTTGTGAAGCTTTTTATTTTATTTACTAGTTATACTTATTTAAAAGTAACTTTATTGAGTTTTTTTACCTTTATTTTTAAGTCCTTGGGAAATAATTATATTTTTACAGGCTCTCAGCTGTTGTGATACAAACATTTTTGGAAGAAGTGATATTTTATTATGTAAACCTTGAATCTCTTTGTGAAGTACTGAAGTGATTAGTTTTTTTTTTATTATTACCAGAAATGTGTATCTCATGTCCAAATGGATAGCAGAGAACTTGATCGAAGGAAGACATTGCAAGTCACGATGCCTGCCAAACCCGCAAACGATAACGATGAATTTGAAAAGCAGAGGACTGCTGCTATCGCAGAGGTTGCGAAGAGCAAAGAAGTAAGAAACTAAATTATAGTAAATTTTTCTAATTCTTGTCATTAGGTTCTATGTAGATTACTTATGACTATTATTGTCTTTGCACACATGGCAACAAATTCAACAAACTTTTGACATTCTCCATGTATCAGCAGAACGTGCCCTAGTACCTTATGGAGACACTTTACTCATAGGTTCTTTTTCCACATCCTCTTGACAAGTCCATTAAGTTACTCTCCTTTCCTCTCTCTTCCTTTTCTTCCTTAGCAGTGTAACAGCCTGACTCAATACTTTTTATTTCAGCAGAGGGTTTCCTATTATCAGTTGGGCTTGATGATACTTTTTTGAGGGTAATTTTCCCCTCAGCAACTGCAGAGAATGCAAGTGAAAATCAGAGGATAAATCAGTAGCTTAGGATTAACATTTTTTTTCAGTTTTCATTCTTAAATCTATATAATATATAGTAAAAAATATTTTTTTCTTTGGGTTATATGTGTATTTATGCATGTGCACGCCATTGTTTACTGTTAATAGCTAATTAAAATTTATTTTGAATTAATTGCTTATTTGAAAGAGGTATTTTCTCTAGTTATTTATTGATTTGTAGATGTTGATAAGAAATTTAATTCATGAATTAGTTGCTTAGACAGGCTTTTCCTAACCAGTGAGATTGAAGTAGTTTTCTCCGTTCAAAACTGGTAATGAATATTAGCTAAATGCTTTGCTGTTGAAATTCAAAGCTGAAGGCGGAGACGTCTGGTCGTTCTCCTGCAGCGTGTCTTTCTGTCATCAGTCTATGTAGATGCCAAGGGCATGGACTCTGGACTCAGGAGCCTGGAAGCATATCCTGCTGACAACCTTGGATCATTTACTTACATTTTGTCACCTATTTTCTTTATCTGTGAAAATAAGATAATAATGTACCTACTTTGTGTGGTTATGGTGAGAATTAAAAGTGATAATCTTTAAAACATTTATGGCACAAATCACAATATTCCTTTGTTAAAAAGCTCTTAATAAACACGACTATAGCTATTCTTTAGTATTTTGTCTATTCTAAGGCACATTTAAAAAATCATTTTTAAGCCTTGTCCAGTTTTTCTCAGTGGTTAGAGCGTGGCCCATGGACCTGAGAGACTGGGGTTCGGTTCCCAGTAAGGGCACATACTTTGGTTGCAGTTTGTCCCCAGCCCCAGTTGGGATTGTGTGGGTGGCAGCCAGTCGATGTGTCTCTCTCACGCTGATGTTTCTCTCTCTATCTCTCCCTCCCGCTCTATCTAAAGATAAATGCAAAAATGTCCTCAGGTGAGGATTAAAAACAAAACAAAACAAAAAAATTATTTTTAATATTTCTGAAATTAATACACTTTACACAGTTTACATGAAATATATTTCATTTTCCCAGAAAGCTATTAAAAGTATGGAGTTTCAGAAGAGGATATTGGGTGTATATCAATTTCTTAATGACTATAGGAAAGTTCTTTTTTTTAAAGATTTTCAAATTGACTTTAAGAGGGAGAGGAAAGGAGAGGGAGAGAGAGAAACAATCGATTTGGGAGCAAAACATTAATTGACTGCCTCCTGCATGCCCCCTACTGGAGATTGAGCCTACAACCCAGGAGTCTTCCCTGACCAGGAATCGAACTAGCAACCTTTTGGTGCACAGGATGACTCCCAATCAACTAAGCCACACTGGCCAAGGTGGGAAAGTTGTTCCTTTGATTTACACTTTTCTCCCAAAATTTTGGTTGATGTGGTTTCTGCTATCTATACTGGAATATAGTTAACATACTATAATATATTTCATTTTTAAAGTCATAATTGGTCATATAGTTTCCCAAAAGTATTTTATAAAGAGTCACAGTTTTCTGAAGCAGACTTAAAATTTCTCAATTTATATATGAGAGAGTTGATGGAGGCTTAAAATTTGCCCAAGGTTAACCAATGAATATTCTAGGACTAAACCTATGTGTTTTACAGTAGAAGATTTTATCTGTATCTGTATATCTATAAGTATACACACATATTTATGTTTAATTTGACTGAACATCAAAATCATATAACAATGTAATTGTTCTGAAAATATGTTATATGATATTTCATTAAAACGCTTACATGGATTTGGTGGAATCTACTACAAATAACCAAGTGATGATATTCATTCTTTTTTTTTTTTTTTAGTCCTTCATTCAGCAAATATATTTTGAGAACTGACTATATTCCAGAAAGTAATTTATTTTATTATTTTTTAAATCTTGACCCAAGGATGTGCCCAGAGAGAGAAAGGGAAGGAGGGAGGGTGGGAGGGAGAAAGAGAGAAAAATATTGATCAGTTGCCTTCTGCACACACCCCGACCAGGGATCGAACCAGCAACCTTTTGGTGCATGGGACAATGCTCCAACTAACTGAACCACCCTGGCTGGGCACCAAAAAGTTTTTTATTTTATTTTTTACTTTTTGTTAATCATCATTGAGGATATTTTAGAGAGTGGAAAGGAGGGGGAGGGAGAGAGAGAAATAAACATCGATGGGTTGCCTCCCTGCATGCACCACCATTGGGCCAGGGATCGAATTTGCAACCTAGGTATGTGCCCTTGCCTGGCAATCAAATGGGCAACCCCTTGGTGGGCTGACACTTTAACCACTGAGCCACACCAGCTAGGGCAGGAAGTGTTTTAGATGTGTGGGTTAAATCAATGAACAAAGAGACAGATGATCCCTGCCCTTATCAAGCTTATATTACAGAAAGGGTGACAGACTAATACATAATAAATCTATAAATTGTATAGTAGGTTAGAAGTTGGTGAGTGCTATGGGAGAAAAAGGAGAATTGGAGCAGGAAGGGGAGTTGGGAGTGCCATTTGTCGGGGAGGGTACAGTTTAAAAGAGGGTGGTCAGAAATGGAGAATTCTTTGACATTCTTGTGTAGTTTTACATACTAGTAAGGTCAGTAAGTAATGTAAGCATACTAAATAAGTAAATTGTAGATTTCAGTTTTAAATGTAGTGGTTTGAGTAGGCCTCACTGGGGTGAGATCTGAGCCAACATTTGACAAAGATGAGAGAATCAGCTGTGTGGTTATATGAGAGGCTTATTCTAGGGAGAAGAAAAAGCATTTTAAAAGGATCAAAAGCAGGAATATATGTTCAATGAATAGCAAGGTGACCCATGAAAACAGAGAGAGCAAGGGACAAGTAGTAAAATATAAAGTCGAGTGATAATGGGGTTCTGCCTTGTAGGGCCCTGTAAGCCATCTTGAAGATGTTGGCCTTTATTCAGAGAGAAGTGAGGATCCTCTGGAGGATTTCAGTAAAAACATCAGCTGACCTACATTTGAAAAGTCTGTTTCTGGTTGCTGTGTTCAGAACAGATTGTAGAGAAGGAAGATTGGAATCAGACAAGCTAGGACATTGTTGAAATAATCCAGGGGGAGAAAAATGATGGTAGTGTGAATGAAGACAGTAGCTGTACAGTCATGCAAAATGGTCAGATTCTGGAATTTTGAAAGTAGAGTCATCAGGATTTGTGATAGGTTGCATGTGGCACATGAGAGAGGAAGCAATGTCATGAATAACTCCAAAAGTTTTGGTTTGAGGAATTGGCAGGGTAGAGTTGCTTACCTTGAATTGGAGAAGACTGGGGTAGAACAAGTTGGAGGGGATAAATACCTGATGTTTTGTTTTAAACATATTAGTATTGAAGTGCCTGTCAGACATCCCAGTGGTAATATTTAAATGGCAGTGAGACAGAAGAATGTAGTTGAAGGGTGAAGTTTGGATGGATATATGCTTTTGAGAATTGTAGGCATATGGATGGTATTTAAAATCTTGAGGCAAACGAGATCAGAAGAGGAATGAGTGCTGACAGGGAAGACAAAAGGATAAGGAATTAACGTCATAGCATTTCAACCTTAGAGGTTGGATGAAGACGTTGAACCGGCCAAAGCATCACTGGTAACATAGGATCAAAACAAGACAATGCAGAAATTGTATCATGGAGGAAGGAGTGTTGAACTTACCAGACTGTTGAAAAAGTCATGTAAAATGTTGCCTGAGAGCCCTGGCCGGTTTGGCTCAGCGGTTAGAGCGTCGGCCTGCGGTCCAGAGAGACCCGGGTTCAGTTCCCGCTAAGGGCACGTACCTTGGTTGCAGTTTGTCCCCGGCCCTGGTTGGTCGTGCGGGTGGCAGCCACTCGATGTGTCCCTTTCACGTCGATGTTTCTCTCTCTCTCTCTCTCTCTTCCTCTTTCTCCCTCCCACTCTATCTGAAGAAAAAATAGAAAAATGTCCTCGGGTGAGGATAAAAAAAAAAAATGTTGCCTGAGAACAAACATAGAATTGGGGAAATCATTCATTCCCTGCACATTCTCTTTAACATTCATATAGATGGTGTTAAGATAAAGTATAAGTGTGCAGATGTCAGTGATGGGTTGATGTAGTGGAAATCTGTTCAAGTCCTTCAGTGATTATTTTAGTTACTTCAGTGAGAAACTAAGCAAGGCCCACTGTTACAACAGGGGAGATATTGGAGGCCTGAGCAGTGAGGAGAACATAAATTAATGGTCTAGAAGACTGGGAGGGTGAATGGGCTAGGAAATATAGTAAGATTGCTGGGCAGCAATAAAGGTCTACTGAGTTTTATGGTCTTGGTGATCTTACAAAATCCTAATTCACGTAATATGGACAAGATGATGTGGCTCATAAAGGACATCAGTTGTCTTATGGGTAATGTTTAAGTTGTGATGTTTCTAGATATTTACATGTTTAGTGAGTAACAACTGTTTTAAAGCACCACAAAAAAAAAAAAAAAAAATACTGAAAATGCTGTTTATCCTATTCCTTAATCCATAAAATGAAAAGAAGTAAGGAAATACATCCAGAAGATGGGACTATTTCACTGGCACAAAAAAGAAAAAAATACTTTTGGAGTTAACAGAATTTAAATTCTGGAAATATAGTTAATTTGGAACAGGTCAGGCTCCCGAGTTTTCAAGTAACTATGTTCTAATTATTAAAACAGTATTATAGTCATCTATCTGTTATGAGTGTTTATCATGTGCCAGTTGAATTCATCGCTCATGTCAGTGATGTCATTTAATCCTCAAAACATCCTAGTAAGGTAGGTTTTCTCATCCTTGTTTTAAGCATGAGAAATCTGAGGTCATGGAAGGAGGTAGTTAAATGACTTATATGAGGGCAGGAACTAGGAAGTGGCTGAGCCAAGATTTAATTCCATCTTGGTGTAGCTCCAAAGTCTGTGTTCTTAACTATTCTCATTGTCTTCCAGTCTGATAAATTTTGTATCACATTAATACAAACTCATACTTTTCTTTGTGGTTATATAAGTAATGACCGTCAAGACATTCCAAATAGTTTTTTTGCTGAGATTGCATAAACCAAAAATTGAATGAAACCAATAATGCATCTTTGGTTTTTAACGACGTGTTTTTACTTTTTATTTGAATCAAATTTAGATATTGTAGTGTATCAACTACATAATAGAGGTATTTAATATGTAGTCCATTAATGCTTATCTAACATCATTTTTCTATTTGTCAGGTTCTATTTCTTTATCTTTTCATCTGATGCAAAATATTTTTTCAATCTTATCTAAATTTAAATCTAGGATGTTTTCCTTTCTTACTGTAATCATTTTAAAACATGTTTAGCCCAGCCGGTGTGGCTCACTGAGTGTTGACCTATGCACCAAGAGGTTGCCAGTTCGATTCCCATTCAGGGCATATGCCCAGGTTGTGGGTCCAATCCTCAGGGTGGGGCATGCAGGAGGTGGCCAGTTGATGTTCTCTCTCATCAGTGTTTCTATTTTCCTCTCCTTCTCGCTTACTCTCTTTCTAATATCAATAAAGAAAAAATATTTTTAAAAAATACATTTAAAAATATTGAACATTATCTTTAATAAAAATCAAATCCTGACTTCTTTCTCTTTTATTAGATCTATTAGTTCATAAAGATATTATATAACTAGATGTTTAATTTGATACTATACACGTAACAACTGTATTGTAAGATATTTCTTAATTATGAATTTGTATCTTTCAAAACCAGTGTTCTTTATGCTCTAGTCTTTTCAGAATAGTTTTGAAATAACAAAAATGAAATCAAATCAAATTTTCAAATTTGATTACACATATAAATATTCAAATAAGTGAGGCAAAATAAGAAGTCTGGACTTCAAAGTTTTCCATACATAGTTGGTAAGACACAGCATAATTAGTGTAAATAATAAATTAGTAATGAAAAATTTTTTTTTTTATCCTCACCTGAGGATATTTTTTCCATTTTTTGTACAGATAGAATGGGAGGGAGAGAGAGGAAGAGAGAGAGAGTGAGAAACATCGACGTGAAGGGACACATCGAGTGGCTGCCACCCGCACGACCAACCAGGGCCAGGGACAAACTGCAACCAAGGTACATGCCCTTAGCGGGAACCGAACCCGGGTCTCTCCGGACCGCAGGCCGACGCTCTAACCGCTGAGCCAAACTGGCCAGGGCAGTAATGAAAATTTTAATCCAGTGTTAAAATTTATATTATTTGTTTACTTTCTAAGATTATAGAATTATATTACTGGATTTTGGACATAATGTAACTGATTTCCTGACATGTTTAGTGTTTTACTGAAGATAGCCTTTCTGTGTAGCTGGATTTATAACCCAGGCCTCATGATATTAGTAAAATATTTCACCCTAGAATTATTTTTGACTTCTAATCTCCATAGTGCTTGTGTTAATTTTATTTTCTTCTATGTTAGTATCTACTTAAGTTTATTCTGATTACTTGCCTTGGAGACTTAAAGATTATACTTATGTAATTATTTTATTGCCTTGCCTGGACTTATGGAAAAAAGAGATTATTGCTAGTAGCTAACACTTCGTTTTTTTTAAATGTAAAATATAATTAAGAAACTTTTAACTACTTCAGTTTTGCTAGATATTTTTAGTTGTAGCTTAGTCTTGAGAACTATTTTTAAATGCTATTTACTTACATCGCTGTTATTTTTCTCTTATTTAAAGACCAAGACGTTTGGAGGAGGTGGTGGTGGTGCTAGAAGCAACCTCAACATCAGTGCTGCTGGTAACCGAAACAGGGAAATTTTACAGAAAGAAAAGTCAGCAAAATCAGAGGGGAAACATGAAGGTGTCTACAGAGAACTGGTAAGGCTAAAGAACCAATACAAAGTTTATGTGTTCTTCCTTTAATAGCCTTGATTTTTTTTTTTTTAATCCTCACCCGAGGACATTTTTCCATTTTTTGTTCAGGTAGAGTTGGGGGAAAGAGAGGAACAGAGAGAGAGAGAGAAACATCGATGTGAAAGGGACACATCAAGTGGTCGCCACTCGCACAACCGACCAGGGCCGGGGACAAACTGCAACCGAGGTACGCGCCATTAGCAGGAACCGAACCTGGGTCTCTCAGGACCGCAGGCCGACGCTCTAACCGCTGAGCCAAACCGGCCAGGGCTAGCCTTGATTTTTTATTCTTTCTCATAACCACCACTAGCTTTGTTCAGTGTATTATGTATAGATGTTACAACTCTAAGGCTTTCCTTAAGATTTACACTTACCTCATGGAAAATTTGGATTCTTAGAAAAATAATTTACTTAAAACTTCCATTTTATTTAAATTTATAATATCAGAATAATATTGTTTGTAATGGATTGATAAAAAACTATCAAATTAAACAGAAGACACTCAATGGAAATTATATTCTAAAAGTTGATACACCAAGAGCATAGTTAACTGTCCCTCTCTACCTTTCCCCACATCTTCATCTTTTCTCAAATTTTATCTAAAGTGGTTTTGTGTTGCTCTTTGGAAAAAACATATTGCAGTAAGTTCATGTATATTAGGGGCTCAGTTGCAAAATATACCTGGAATTTTAAGATAAATAAGAAGAGTCAAACATATTTCTGATATGCTGCAGTGTCCTTAGTTATAACAGAACTGACAAGAATTTATTTCCTTCTCCCTTTAGAGGTTGAAGACTTTGGATGATTTTATCTGTAGGGTACAGACTACTAAGACTAGCTTAAATAAATAATGGGAGTTCATTATCTCATATAATATAATAAGAAATTAAGATATAGATAGCTACAAAAGTTGATAAATGTAGTAGTGTAACAATGTTGGGACTCTGGTGGGTGTCTCGGTGATTTTTGACTTTCTTCTCATTGTTACAGGATTCTCTATGCATTAAATCTCCATCCAAAAAGTTCAAAGGCAGAAAGGAAAGGTGTCATTTTCCTGGGTGTGGGTCAGTTTTATAAGATATGAAAATATTTTTGAGATCTCCAGTAAGTTTCACTTATGTCTTATGGACTAGAAATAAGTCACATACCCACTCCTTAATCTGTCAGTCACTGGCCAAGGAGAATGGGCTTATAACTGTGGGCCAGGCTTTCTCTTCCTTGAAAATGTACCCACCTAATTCTAGAAAAAAAAAAAATCAGAGTTTTCAGGATAGAGTGGATACAAGAAGCTGAAAAAAAAAATGGTTTCTAAGTCAAAAAGTTCTTAAACTTTAGTAAATTGAGAACAGTTCTGAAGAGATATCTTGCCATAGAACACCAGAGGCCTGCACTTATTATACGATATCACATATGAAGGGGGCAATATAGCAAAGATGACAATATAGAAATCTCCTGGAATTGGACCCCCACTGAAATAATTATTGAGCTGACAAGCACTGTCTGAAGTAACTCTTTTATTACCCTGGATCCTAGTTAGACTCTTGTAGTATCCAGAGTAGTGATTGATGGCTAAGAGGCTGATCATAGAGATCAAAGACTTCAATGATCACATAACACAAAGATTTGCAAAGGCAATTTGGACAGTCACTAAACAAACTTAAAATTGCAGTCTTCATCAAGTAGCAGTAGCAGTTCTCAAGTAGGAGGGAAAATCTGATTTTCAAAATTACCACCATTGTAGTATTCAAATGTCTACTTCTCAACAAAAAAATGACAGAGTACACCAAAACAACAATAACAAACAAGAAAGTATGACTCAGTCATAGAAAAAAAGAAATTGTCAGAAATCACCCCTAAAGGAGCCCTGGCATTGGACTTACTAAACAAAGACTTTATCTTAAATATGCTCAGATGTTTGAAATGAACCATTGACAATGAACTAAAAGAAATAGGAAGAACAATATATGAACAAGTAGGGAGTACCAATGAAGAAACAGAAAAACATTTTTTGAAGAGATAGAAATTATGAAAAGAAACCACATAGAATTTCTGGAGTTGAAAAATACATTAGCTGAAATTTTCTTAAAAATTAGGTTCAACATCAGACTAGATCAGACAGAAAAAAGAAACAGTGGGCTTTAATATAAGGCAACTGAAATGACCCAGTGTAAAATGCAGAAAGAGAAAAAGAATGACAAAAAATAGAGCCTAAGGGACTTGTAGAGTACCATCAAATGTACCAAGATGTACATTGTGGGAGTCCCATTCGGAGAGACAAAGGGACACAAAAAATATTTGAAGAAGTAATAGCCGCAAATTCCCAAATTTGATGATGTCATGAATCTACAAATCCAAGTAACGTAACAAACTGCAGGAGGATAAACTCAAGAGAGACACAGCAAGACACATTATAATCAAGTTGTTGAAAAGCTAAAGAAAGAGAGACATTTTGAAAGCAGTGAAAAAGAAATAACTCCTCAAGAACAGGGAGCCTCAATAAGATAAACAGCCAATTTCTCATTAGAAACTATGGAAACAAGAAATAAGTGGGATGATATAGTGAAAATAGTGAAAGAAAAAACTTAACCAAGAATTTATATTCAGGAAAACCATTATTTAAACATGAAGGAAAACATCAAAAGGATAACTTAAAATACTAGTGTAAATTTGAATGTACATGAATTAGTCTCATAATTAGGTACCAAATTCTTTTACAAGTTGGATGGTTTTCTTTTTTTTTTAATCCTCACCTGAGGATATTTTTTGCATTTATCTTCAGATAGAGCAGGAGGAAGAGAGGGAGAAAGAGAGAGAGAGAGAAATATCGCTGTGAGAGAGACACATTGACTGGCTGCCACCCACACAACCCAACTGGGGCTGGGGAAAAACTGCATCTGAGGTATGTGCCCTTAGTGGAAATCGAACCTGGGTCTCTCTAGTCTGCGGGCCAATGCTCTAACCACTGGGCAAAACTGGCCAGGGCTGGATAGTTTTCAAATCTCTATTTCAATAATTCAAGGAAGACTTGATTGGGATGTCAGCTGGTAGCTCCTTAAAGTAGTTTTGATAATGGACTTAAGTGTATCCTTCCTTGCAAGATATATTGACGTGCTAACCACCAATATATTAAAATGTGACTTAATTTGGAAATAGGGTCTTTACAGTGGTATCAAGTAAAAAGAGAGCATTAGGGTAGACCCTAATCCAATGTAACCCTAATTCAATTTTTTATGAAGAGGGGAAATTTAAAAACAGAGAGACACATATAGAGGACAAATGACCTGAAGACATGTAGCGAGAGGATGATCATGTGACTGGAATGACGCATCTACAAATCAAAAAATGCCTAGGATTGCTATCTGACAAAAAGCTAGAAAAGGCAAGGAAGTTCTCACCTAGAGCGCTGAGAGTATGGCCCTGCCAACACCTTGACTGAGAGTTTGCTTACATAATTCAAGTCAACAAGAAAGCTAGAATAAGTTATACCAAGGATTGGTATTAACTGATTGTTAAAAATGTTTTTGGTGCAATTCTGTGTGTGGGACCATTTTTTTTTTTTAATAATTTATTTTTGTTACAGATGTTTCTCTTTTTTTCCCCATTGATGCCCTCCTCCCCATCCCCCCCACCCTGTCCCCAGTTTTGTTGTCCATGCCCACTGGTTATGTGTACATGCATATAAGTTCTGTGGTTTATCTCTCCCTTCTGAGAGTTGTCAGTCTATACCCTACTTCCACGTCTCTAGGTCTACCTTGTTCCTCAGACTATGTTCATTATATTCCACAAATAAGTGAGATCATGTGATATTTGTCTTTCTCGGCTTGGCTTGATTCACTTAGGATAATACTCTCCAGGTCCCTCCATGTTGTCTCAAAGGATAAGAGATTTTTCTTTCTTAGAGCTGCATGGTACTCCATTGTGTCTATGTACCACAGCTTTTTAATCCATTCATCTACTGATGGACACTTCAGCCGTTTCCAGATTTTAGCTATTGTGCTGCTATGAACATGGGGGTACATGTATTCTTTCTGATTGGTGTTTCAGGCTTCTTAGGGTATATTCCTAGAAGTGGGGTCACTGGGACAAATAGCACTTCACGTTTTAATTTTTTGAGGTAACACCATAGTGTTTTCTATAGTGGCTGCACTACTCTACATTTCCACCAGCACTGTGCTAGAGTCGCCTTTTCTCCACACCCTTGCCAACACTTGTAGTTTGATTTGTTGATGGCGACCATTCTGATAGGTGTGAGGTGATACCTCATTGTTGTTTTAATTTGCATCTCTCTGATGATTAGTGATGCTGAGCATTGCTTCATATGTCTATTAGCCATTTGTTATTTTGTTTGTTTGTTTCTATTTGTATTTATTGGATTATAAATTTCTTTTTTTTAAAAAAAATCTATTGTTAAATGTAGAATGTTTTACAGATGTTCCACATTTTTCTCCCATTGACCCCCTCCTCCCCACGCCCACCCCCCTCCCGCCTTTTCCCACACTATTGTCTGTATCCATTGGTTATGCATATAAGTTCTTTGGTTTATTCCCCCCAACCCCCCAACCCCTTTCCCTTTGAGGTTTGTCAGTCTAGGAATGAATGTGTACTTTTTTTTTTTTTTTATCCTCACCCGAGGACATTTTTCCATTTTTTGTTCAGGTAGAGTGGGAGGGAGAGAGAGGAACAGAGAGAGAGAGAGAGAAACATCGATGTGAAAGAACACATCGAGTGGCTGGCACCCACACAACCGACCAGGGCCGGGGACAAACTGCAACCGAGGTACGCGCCGTTAGCGGGAACCGAACCCGGGTCTCTCAGGACCGCAGGCCGATGCTCTAACCACCGAGCCAAACCGGCCAGGGCAGGGAATGAATGTGTACTTCTTAATCCCTTCACCTTTTTCACCCATTCCCCCAACGCCCCTCCCATGTGGCAACCAACAAAATGTTCTCTGTATCTATGAGAAT